AAGAAGGCTTGCTGACCATTCTTAATTGCCAAGAAGTATAAGAAATTGGAATGCAGAAAAAGGGAACCTTGCTTCTCTTTAAAGACACATTGGCACTCTGTTTATTTGGCACTTGTTTTATTGGAAAACAGCTGAGAACCAAGAAACAAACAAAAGAGACCTCCGAGCAGCCAATTTCTACAGCACAGAGCCCGCCCTTCTTAATGAACTTCACGGAAAAGGATTTCCTGGGGTCCTTTCTCTCAGCCTAGTTTTCCTCTTCAGGAATCCTAACAGGCTTGGGGATGTGGTTTCCAACTGAACAGGCCAATAAGAGCAGCAAATTAAAAGAAGAGGACTAGGAGGGGGAAAAAAAGAAAGCAAGGAGAGGACTAAAAGAGGCACATCAATAACAGTAACGAGGGACAGCTGATGACTTAGCAGCAAGGGTAGAACCAGGGTGAAATAACTATAGAAGACAAACAAAAGGAGTAAAAATCACAGCAGCTTAAGATCATTTAGTGCAGAATAAAAACATTCTACATACTAGAACAGACCCCGGAGGGCACTAGAGCTCAGCGTGATGGCCTAAGCTATCATTAAAAACAGTTAAATTACATTTGGTATAGTCTAAAAAGGCAGAGACATTCGAAATATACAATAACAGAACGAGGAAACGTACAGCTTGATCCATTTAGCCCCTAAAAGGCAATTCTTGTGGAGTAGCTATGTGCCAGGAAATGTGCCAGGCAATAGATAGACAGGATCAAGAACGTGGTAGTATCTGTCTTAAGCCACCGTCAGTCATCCGGGAAGCTCAGCTGGTCAGAGAGATGGATTCTCTGCAAGGTGTCCTTTGGAGAGCCCTTGGAAAGGAAACTTTTCAAATATCAAGGTTCTTGGAAAATCTAAATGATTCAGACTTCTCTCACTGGCAAAATTAGGTTGATTTTGGCTAGAGAAGACTGGCTACTTTTGTTGAAAAACAACAAAAAGAACATTTAAACATGATTTTCTCAGTGTAATGGCTACCTACCTTTTTGCTTTTATATATGTATAAAATCACCTTCAAGAACTGCAATGATGTTTAACAACAACCGGGTGAGAGTACTTTTTGTTCACTTAGGGTACATACTGGTTTCAAATTATTAGTGTAAGTCCTAAAATGGCTAGTTAAAACTAAGAGTAACTTAGATCTGGAGTAAATCTTAACTCCTTCTAATCAATATCTTGTGCTTCTTTTTTCAGCACCACAAAATAAATTTTAAACCAATGGTTCCAAGCTGCAGTTGACCAGTTCTATCAGAATCTCTCATTCTTCTGGGGATGCGTCTCTGGGATTCTTATTTCTTAAAACTGCTCCAGATGATGCTGATGTGTGGCCAGAATTCCTTACAGCTCTTAAATTCCATTGTTTTTAATGTGTCTAATGATAAATAAGTAAAAGAACACCCCCAAAACACTATAGTTGAAATTCTATGAAAGGAAAAGAAAACCATAAATTTTCCATATTATATTTGATCTTATAATGAACAAGGAAAAACTAATACTAACCAGAGAAATTAAATTCATGTTCTTTTTTCATAATTTTGAGGTCTACACATTAGAAAAAAATGAAAAATTAAGCTAAACTATTTCCATTATATTTTGTCTCTATCATCTTTACATCACCATCAACAAGCCTTCTGAGTAATAATAATAAAGTCATACAGGATCTAAAACTTTGATCATAAAATTAAATTTTCTCAGAAAATTTGTCAGACTTGGAAATAATGCCAAGTTTCTCCCTCTTCTCTCTTCTCTTCTCTCTGCTCTTGGTTTTCTGCTTTTGCAAACCCAGATACGATGTGATGTGAGGATGAAAGAAGAAAGATGTAGACGCCAGCCTCATTAAATAGGGTTTAGGGACTCTGTGGAACATAATCGGTTAGAGAGAGTGACATTAAATGTAATTAAGATGTCTTGTGTTTATTTCAGTCCCTAGAGGAAAGATATAAAATACCTAGCTATTAATAAATAATAGTCAAATAACAATAATCCAGTTTCTTCTTAGAGCCCAAAGTAGCTAGGATTTGTTCTCTTTTATGCTGAGGGGCTATTGCTTGGGAAATTGTGAGAGTCAAGTGAAGGAATGTTGCCTGCTTGGTGCCAAGTGTTGATTTCCAAGCTGGAAGTTCAGATGATTCCACACATGTTTTCTGCCTCTCTCCTACTCTCCTTTCTCATCAGGAATAAAGTGAAGGACCTAGAGATTTAGGGTGCATCAGCAACTCCCAGTACATATTGGTGTTTGGAAAGCCAGATAATCTTCTACATGCTTTTCTTGCCTGGTATAAATTCTGTATAGGTTTCCCTGTGCATTTGGGGTAAGGAACAAATTGGTGAGCCAACCCCCTATCCACAGAGCACTGTGCAAGGAGCTGCAGGAGATGGATTTTTTTTTTTTAACACAATAAGGGCATGGCTTCTGTCTTCAAGGAAATTAAAATCTGGCTGGGAGAAAAACCCACAAACATCAATTAGGGAATTGTATGTCATAATTCATGATTAAGTAATAAATTAAGGTCATAATTGTTCAAAGATGGAAAATTTAAATGAGAATAATTGAGAAAGACTGTAAGAAATTCATGCCCTCAGGGTATGAAGGATGGTACCAAAACTTGTCCCACATATGCAAATGAAAAGATGGACATTCCTTCATAAAGTTACTTAGGTGTAAAAGAACCTTTAAGTCTTCCTCCCCACTTTTATTTTTCTTCTTTAATAAAAGAAGGAGCACTTTTGTCCATGGCCATTACTTAGAACTGTATATAAAATATGTTAACTGTTTAATAAATTTGGTGTGTTTCTTCTCTATATAATGTTCAACTCTTTCTACATTTCAGGAAGCAGCAAATTGAAAGTAAATTATAGGAGAAAAGTGGGGATTCTGTAATTAACCAAACTGTTCTTAAAAAATGGTAACTACAAATAACAATGGATAAAACAAACAGTAATGTTCAGCAATCTGGGTCCTTTTAACGTTGGGAGACTATAACCATACTCTTCCCACCTGCCCCCAACAGCCCCAGAAGGCATCAAAGCTCCCTGGAATGTGCTATCTTCACTGATTTAAATCTCCTTTAATAAAGAGAGAGAGAGAGAGAGAGAGAGAGAGAGAGAGAGAGAGAGAGAGAGAGAGAGAAGAAAAGAGACTCATAAAGGTTATTTTCTTCATTCAGTCATTTGTTTGTTCAAGAATTTTTTATTGAGCACCTACTATTGTTTTAGATGCTAGGGACACAGCTACGAATAAGAGAGAAAAAGTTCCTATCATTTCAGAAATTTTATTCCAATTCAAAGAAAATCCTCCAGCTTAGATTTTTTTAAAAGAATGAGATAAAGAAAGCTTTGGATATACCTTGGCTGCAATTCCCCAAGAGTTAATGAAAGTCAACCTAGATTTTAAAAAATAAAAAAAAAAAATCTATCCTACAGGGAAATTTATCAAACACTGAGTCTAGGTACATAGCCTTTCTTGCCAGTTGCCTCTCAAGAATTAACTCCCTTCTTACCCTCCCCCCCTAGTATTCAAATTCTCTTCTGCATTACAGAGTTGGCCTTCCTTGTCTCTTTCTTCATCTCTCTTAGCTTGGTTCACTTTTTCCTCCTCTCTACAATTTTATTCATTTTCCCCAAACTCCAAAAGGTCACAGACCCAGTACATTGTGAAACCCCAAATTAAGTTACAGGATTCCTTCCTCCCGACACAGTGTCTGATGAGCTAAGAACTGAGGTTCTCATCTGCCTCTCAGGGCTGACCTGCCCTCCAGAGAAACCACAAGGACTTTGCTTACACAAGGCTCTTGAGGGATGGAAAGCCAGTGTCCTGGTTTGTGAGCTTGTTCTTCTAAAAGGGAAACCTAAAACTCTTTTCTTCTCTTTAATGAATTATTCTAGTTTTGCTTTGAGACCATAGCTCCTGTTTTATTTTCAGTTGTCTTTTTTCCATAACTCCTTTTAGAAATAAAAATGGAAAGCGTTATCTAGCCCCTAGGAAGAAATATGTACATACATTCAAAAAGCATTTTCATGCAACCTTAATAACCCGAATTCTATTTCCCTTTCTGTACATGATGGATGAAATTACTTTGATTATGCTGGCTTTCCAATTACTCATTCATGCCAAGAAAGCCAGCCCCGGAAACCCAGTCACCTTGCTTATTTCTTCCCACCTTGCCCTTCACAATCACAAAAATCAAAGAGCGCTGGAGCCGGAAGGAGCTTCCGTGATCCCCAAAGGAGGGATTAAACTTAAAAGTCATACATATTGATTGACCCCAGTTTTCTAAAATTAAACCCGAGTAACTATTTCAATACCAATTTTTAAGCTGTAAAAACTGATCTGTAGGTACAGAGTTCTGAGTGATGGAAGGCTCGGTGAATGTGCGACTGGTAACCCCGGCACTTCTACTTAATACACCGGGAAAAGATTTATTCCCATGTGTTCACTTATTTATTCCTTATCCCATGCCAGTGGTTTTCAAATTGTGCTCCTTAGAGTCTGAGGCTGTAATACCCCAGAAGGTAAAGAGGGACCAATTCTAAAGACTTCACGTCTCCTACCCCTGCTTCTATCAGAGATGCTATGCTCTTTCTCGCCCTTACAGATTGGGCTCTCAAATATGATTTCATATAAATAAAGCTCCCCATTACAATCCAAAAGGCAAAAAGATACTTAGGGAAAAATGAACTTAAAGATACAGAATATACACAAATAATCGTTTGTTTGCTCACAAACAATGCTGACTGGGGCTCCTAATTAATTGGTCCTGGAATTGACATTGGACTAGCTGTCTGGTGTATAACTCCCCATGACTGGCTCCTCACCACCCCGCCCCAAGGCTCTCCATAAACTTCCCTAGGAACCAACACATTAAGTCACAAATACTTCTGGTTACTTAGATACAGCCTGGCTAATAGGCTCACCATTTATAGCCACTAGTTTACTTATTCATTCAATGAACAATAAAGGGCTCAAAGATAAAGACATGATGCCCAAGGCAACAAACTTTTAGTCTAGGGGGAGACAAACAAGAAAGCAAATTAGAGTATCTAAAAAATGACCATTATTTTAATGGAGTACGTATAGCTTTAACAGGAGCCCAGAAAGGCCAGGTCCGGAAGGAGTCAGGAAACCCCCCACAGAAGCAGACTCTGCAACATCCTGGGTCAACACCAAGTGTGAGACGCAGAAGGGAGAGAGATTTGGCTGGACAGGCAGGCAAGCAAGGACCAGATAATGAAGAGCCATGTCACATAAAGGATTTCAGAGTTTCTATCCCATAGGAAGTGGGTGACCAGCAAGCCATTAGCCTAGCATCATGGATTATTTCCCCAGTGGATACTTTTCTTTAGCTCATTCATGTGTCCCACATATATTTCTTGAATAACAACTCAGGGCTAACATTGCTCCACTAAAAAAGAAACCTTGAAGTCACCTAAAATCGTCTGGTGCCACAGATATGCTGCCTTCCCATCCCTATCCAGCCTTTTGGGGTAAAAATCACCCCTTAGACATTTGGTTCAACCATTCAATATCCCTGAGCAAATAATCTCACCCCAGATTTCAGTTGGTATCTGTTGTTGGGATTTTCCACCAAGAATCAGCAATGGAATTTTTTTAAACAGCAGAAATAGATAACACAAGTAAGGAAAAGAGTTAAAAAGGAGGCTCTTGAAAACATTTAAAATAGCTGCTCAGCACTGAAAATCAGCTTAAGGGATGGCAAATGCAAATGTGAGCTCAGACAGGCCCCGCTCAGTTTTGCAAATCCTTTGGTAATGAAAATAGATCCACACTTTAATTTTTCAAACCATAAACCTCCCCGAAGCAAGTAAGAAAAGAGAAGAAACAGAAGGGAAATGTTCTACAAAGAAAGTGGATTTTGCATTTGATGTTTTGATGGAACTCAGTCAGGACAATGTTCTCAAAAACTATGAAGTAGACTGGGTCATGGCTGCTACCCCAGGCTCCTATTCTCCACTGTCTGCTCAGGTTGGGAGCATTCCTTTCCAAAGTCCTCAACTGTCCAGGTCACTCTCATGTCCCTCCCACTTCCAAGCACCACATCAAACCCCACTGTATGGAAAGGAGCAACACCTTCATGACACTAAGGTATGAATGATTGATAACGGCTTTAAAATGCCATTTCTTCTATAAGGTATTTGCATTTTAACAGAGTACAAAACCTCCAGCCAAAGCAAGACTCCTAGAGATGTGTGAACATATGAAAACAGTTTACAATGATTTCTGCTGTTTCCCCACAGACTCAAAAGTTACCTGGCAAAAAGTAGCTGCTTGGTTGTTTAGCAAGGAAGAAGGAGAGATTTACAAACCACTGAGTTTGCGCCTAGAGTACTTTCTTGGCGTAAACATCAAAGGAGTAGCAGGCATGTGGCTTCTCCTGTGCAGACTCCCCCAGTGCCCCTTCTAGGGGCTTCATAGCAAGTTTGGAGGAGCTGCACCTCCCCGTGGAGGCCTTTCCATGCTTCCAAAGGGAGGATTTCCAGCAACTTCTGGTTGCCTAGCATCTCCGAAATTCCTCTGCCATCCACACAACCACAGACAACCAGTCTGGGATCCCCGCCTGGGGCTGGGATGGGGCATCTTCGTGGGGCACTGGGTGCTCTGGGTGCTACTCCTATCTGCTATCCCTGTATTCATAATTCTCTTTTCGTTTTATTAGCTAACCCCACTTTATTCTGGTCTCCATTAACATTAATTCTTTATTTTAAACTTCCCCTGTTCAAATTAAGTAAAACAAAACGAAGAGCTTTTTGTGTGTGTGTGCCTTGACCCTGATAAGCTATCAAATGCTGCTCCCCTCCCAATCATGTACCTCCCCACTCCCCCCTCCCAGGATGAGCTTCAATCTCTTTTGCCAAATAATTCAGATGAAGCAGAACATCTACTTCTAAGGTCACCAAAGACACTGCCCCAGGCAACACTTCTCCAGAGGAACCTGAAGGGTGACTTCTGTACTGAAACAGCCTCCAATATCCTAATTTTCCAGGAGTTGATAATCTTACTTTCTGGGATGGTCCCTGGCCTTTCTATGGTGTACACATTCCAGAAAAACAAACCATGGGGAAAGGAAACAAAACAATAGGCCTAAGTCTACCTGCCTGATGAAGTGCTAATGCAATCAGGAAGCAAGTAAGCCAGGAAAACAGACTGCCAGGGGAATTGGAGAACGTTGTAAAGAAGACATTTCGAAAATAATAGACTCTGGAAAAGAGAGGCCAGGAAGTGGATAAGTAGGACTGTAAGCTATGAACTGAATTTTTGTTTAATTTTTCATGAGGAACAAGCAAAGTCTGATGTTGCTTTTTCTTATGGTTACTGGAATATTCCTTTACATACAGGGCAAGTCACACAGGGTCTTGCCATCAGCCTAGCCAAGGTGGTTAGCACTTCGGTGCACATTCTTGCAAACAGCCCTACAAAATCTGTCCAAAATTCTAGTCACGGATCTGGAGAGTAGATTTCCTAATGGTGATCATATTGAATCCTCAGAAGCTGAGCCCCAACACCTGTAGCCCCTCTCAAGGATGCACCTGATTTCCAATATTATCTGTGCACACCAATTATGTTCACCAATTTCAAACATTAGCCTGTAAACCTCTGGACAGTTTTGGTGGGTTTCCTTCAATACGCCACATGTGTTCTCAACTGATTGATAAGAATTATCCCTACATAATTAAGACCATCCTACATGTAAGTCATCCTATATGATTCATCCTATATGAATCATCCGTATATGGCGCATCTTGCCATTGGCCCAGGTTGACTTCAAATAATTATGCCATAAAGTAGTGTAAATCCAACTCCACTAAGAAGATAATGGGATCCACCCACTTACCATGTTCCTGCAGGCACCTTGGGAGGGAACCCCACACCCTCTGGTGTCTCCCGTTCTTTTCCTTCCATATTTGCTTCCTGCCTGATGCCCAAGCAGGTATCAGTCCAAGACTTCCAATGAAGTGGCTGGACCCCCTCCCCTCCTGCTTCATTCTATCTTAACCCTGTGGGGGTACCATTTAATGTAAACCAAAAACTTCCAAATACCTAAAACAAGCAGGACTGTAACTAAAAAGTTATTATGCTGTTTAGGGATAAAAAGCAAAACTTCTCGGCTTCAACCCAGCATTAGTAATCTTTCAACTCTTTCCCATACTGGATCCATATCAGATCTCTCTGATCATCCAGAACCTATTGTCATATTTGAACTGACTCTGCTGCCTCATATCTAGACTTGGCCTTAGGAGTATACTACCCACACCCCACTCTTCCTGCCAAGAAGTAGCAATTTGTCTTGTTTCTTACAATCCCAATAATCCACTGTCTTCCCTACCCCAAACATGGAGCCAGGTCATTATTGTCAATTCTTTGTTTCTGTTTTTTTTTTTTTCTTTTCTCTTCTCTCCTCTCCTCTTTTCTCCCCTCCTACTCCTCTTCTTCTTTTTCTCCTCCTCCTTCTTCTCTTTCCCTCTTCCTTTCCCTCCCTCCCTCCCTCTCTCTCTCTCTCTCTCTCTCTCTCTCTCTCTCTCTCTCTCTTTCATTTTAAGGCTCTTTATCAAAATAAGTACATACCCACCCTGAGCCTATTGCTGCCAAGATGCTTCTGATAGTAGTATCTAAAAATGGAGTGAATGCAGGAAGGGCCTTGAAAACAAATCAATGCATTTTATGTTCCTAATTCTAAGGTCCCTATCCCTGTGGCAAACCCTGCTGAGTGGCTTATGTGACACCCACACCCAATTCCTTACTCCCTTGATTCTGTCCACTATAAAACATGGAACAGCTAAGTAGGACCTTCCCCAGGCTCCCTTACAAACTGGGATAGATATGGCACAGATTTGTTCAATAAGATGTAACAGAAGTCTTGAGATAGGAATAGTCCTGGGGAAACTTTTGGTTTCCCAACAAGAGAGAACAAGGTAGCTGGCCTTGTCCTGTTCCTATCTTTCTGTTTTTTGAAAGATGGGCAATTCCTAAAGCTGAAGCAGCCATTTTGTGACTATGAGGCAGCTCAAGTTGCTAGGCAAAAGCATTCCAACTGAATATGCCAGGGCTATCTAATGTCTTTCTATAGCAACCTTTAGAAAATTCTTTATCCCCTATGCACTTTTCAAAAGAACCTTTATTTAATAGTCTTTATTTTTCTAAAGAATAAATTATCCTTTTTTTCCCATTTTAGCATGATGCCACAAAAGAATAAAATTGTAGACTTTGTGAACTTAGGAACTTTGCTATGTCTATCACTGATCTGACATTATGCTATATAATTACTATAATTATTTTAATTTTTAATAAATACATAAAAGTTGTTATTAATGATTTTTACTATGTTATAAGTGAATTTTAGTTAATGCAATTAATGTCATTATATATAATTTATATTTTGTTGATAATATATCATTATATCATCATATTATATAATGCATTAATTATTTATTATTGTTCTGCCTCACTGGAAAGAAGATAGTGCCTGAAACAGTACCTGGAAATATTTGTTGAATAAATAAATGAATCTTATGCCCCCCAAAATAATTATTTAAAATTAGTCTATTTCAGGCAAAAAAAAAATTTTCAATGAGTATGTTACTGAGAGGTCAACTTAAATGAGGGGTTTATCGTGACCTCCTACAGAATCAGCCTTTCAAATGCTGGTAATTGGTTTTAAAAATAAATTACATTATTTTGTTATTTCAATTCCCCATAGGCAATTAGACTTCTGTTTTTAAAATGGGAGTCTGGAAAAATAAGGCACTTTAGTAGACTTCTGTCTTGCCATGGTCCCTCTTAAATACCATGTCTGGGGCATGGAGTCAAAAACAAGGAGCTCTCTTCAGCCTGAGGGACCAGGAGCAAGATGCTGACCCACAATATTGGCCAGTTAGTTTCCAAATCCCATTCAGAGCTCTCTTTATGATTAGCACCATCTCAAAATGTTTTCCTCTGTGCTATTTAATTTTTGAAAAGAAAATATTCATGAAACTTTATTAATCATCTCTGCTGAAAGGAAAAAGAAGAGTATCTGACATCATGTAGTCCCTCTCAAGTCAAGTAATTAAGAGTAGAAATCATCCATGTTTCTCCTGAGCGCCCTTCCCACTTGTAGAAAGTGAGCAGATCTTAAGACACTAATTTTGGCTCACCGCACAGGTCATCCTCTCAGAAGGACCATGGTTTGTTTAGAGAATGTTTCACGAAAATGCTAGACCAACGACGGGTCCTGAGACCTGACTGCAAGAGCGCACTCACATCAGCTATGGCTGTGACTCTTCTGTGCCCAATCACCTTCCAGCAGCCCAAGGCTTCACTCAGTCCACTCAGGAAGCAGCAGAGTGCATCATGGGAGCCTTCAACAACTCACCTGTCACCAGAGAGTCAAGACTCAACCACAGCTTCAGCTGCTGAATGCTGCTCACTAGGCAGGACAGCCAGGCTCCACCTAACTCAACCCCAAAGCATAAAGGTATTTCTTGGAGCTGTGCAGTAATAGACAGGGGGTGATGGTGGCACACACCTATAATCCCAGTGACTCAGGAGACTGAGGCAGGGGTTAACAAGTTTGAGAACATTTTGGGCAATTTAGAGTGCACCTAGTATAGTACATCCCTAGAACAGCAGCAACAAAGATTTTTTAATAAAAAAATCAATTATTAGGACTTGTATTTATTATCTATAGCTGCAGAACAAATTACACAAACTTGGCAGTTTAAAACAACACACCTGTACCATCTCATGGTTTGGGTGGGTCTGGAATTTGGGCATAAGTGAGCTGGGTCCTCTACTCCTGGGTCTTCTAGGAGGCTGCCACCAAGGCTCAGCCAGAGCTGGAGTCTGACACAAAGGCTCCGTGGAGGAAGGATTTGCTTCCACGCTCACATGGATGGTGGCAGGATCCAGCACCTTGCAGGCTGGTGGACTGGGGCCTCTGTCTTTGCTGGCTGTTAGCCAGAAGTAATCTTCAGTTCCTGGCCATGAGGGTCTCCACTCCACTACCACCACCACCCCCAGCTGCTCACAGTATCACCATTTGCTTCATCAAAGGCAGCAATTGAGCAATTGCTCAAGCCGGAGACCTTCTTTTCAGGCTCAATCTTTGTCTTCTTTTCCTTCACATTCAGTCTCTGTGCCCTATCAATCCTAACATTAAAGTGTCTCCCAAATCTGTTTCCTCCTCTCCATTCCCTCTAAGTGCTAAGATTCAGTACTCATCTTCTCTCTGCAGTCAGTCTCCAAGGGATCTCTCTCTCTGGCCTGGGGGGTGTGCCTGTAGATATTCCACAATCGGCTCTCCAGAGGTGGGGAAAGCCCTGATTTGTAGTATCTTCTGATTTCCATGGGACAAATACCCCTACCCTGGTTCATGTCAAGCTACCAGTGACATCACTGACCATGGTGTTGGGCAGCGACACTCAGTGGCTCACCAGTACATAGAGTTTCCATCACTCAAATACAGTAGATTGAGAAAAATCCTCAGAAATTTTGATAATAGTAAAATGGAGTAAGATAATTAAAAAGTGATAAACTTTTATCTTATATCTTAATATAAGTTAGTTTTAAACAATGGCTGTGTTTATGAACCCACTCTGAAAATTCCTGAAGACTCTCACAAGTAGTGATATGTGTTCATTGCTTCATATTATGGCCCTGGCACTGGTCTCTACATTCAAGCTGTTCCCCGAATCACCACAGCCATTTCAGCACAAATAAGGCTCTATCACTGCCCCTGCTCTTTCTGGTAGTAGCCCATGTTCCAAAATCCTTTATGTATGTATGCAAGACCCTTCATCTCCTACCACACTACGGCTCCAACTGTATTTTGAGTGGAAATTAAACATGAATAATACTGACAGTTCACAAAACCTAACACTGTGTTATATTGTTTAATCTTTCCAACAATCATATGAGCTATCTACTTTTATTATGTCCAGGGCAGGAATTGGAGAGAACAGAAGTAGAGGTTCTGATAATCCTGCAAAGAATTCTGGGAAGTTTATTTTACATATGTAAATAAGGTAGGTTGGGCTAGAGACAGAAAGATTCCTGGGGTGAGTTGATGGTGGATTTTAGATTTTGTTGTTAACTCCTTGTCTTTAGTGCATCAAGTACAAGTTTTGGAAATTTTGAAAAACTGGGATTTAGGCTAGAAATGGATCATATTAAACTTCCCCATTGTTAGAGTTGGATTGTGGCTCAGCAGTAGATCGCTTGCCTAGTGCATGCGGGGACCCTGGTTCGATTCTCAGCACCACATAAAAAATAAATAAATAAAAAGACATTGTGTTGTGTCCTTCTACCAAAAAAAAAAAAAAAAGATTCTCTCTCTCTCTCTCTCTCTCTCTCTCTCTCTCTCTTAAAAAAACAAACTTCCCCATTGCTATGACCCTGAAACAGATGTTAACAGTGCATACTTGAATAGTAGAAATCCACATGCTTGTTAAAAAAAAAATCTAGATTAATTTTATCACATCAAAGCATGAGTAAGAATAAAAAACAAGTGGCCATAATTATATCTACCCTAAAAATTATAAGTACCCATAAAGGAAGACTAGAACAACTTGTTCAGAAGTAATAAACAAAAGTATAATCGAAAAAAATATATTGAGCTGAAAAACACCTGAATAACAAATTAAAAGAGATCAAAATAACTACCCCAAATGAATAAAAAGACCACATCTCAACACATCATAGCAGTTTTTTTTCTAACTATTGGGGTTAAGACAAATGAATTTTTCAAAAAGAAGATGTAGCATAATATCTCTAATATACCACTTACACAAATAAAGAAAACATACTTATTCAGAACAATACTAGATATTATTCATGAAGATAAAAACATATGTGTTAAATTATGAAGAAATGTCCTGAAATTTAAATTCCAAATTCCTAATAATGGTTGTTCTTAAGCAGCCATGGAGGGGACTGGTGAGCAAAATGTGAAGTGAACTCTAGTTGAAGGTCTGTATTTGTAAAGTCTGCTAAGGAAGGAGAGAAAGGAAAGGGAAGGAAGGGGAACACAGAATAAACTTGAAGCAAGTATGATGGAATATAAATGTGTTTGTTTTAGATATTGAGAATATTAAGGCCTTTTTTGATTCTTTTTATTTTTTTAGTACCTTTTAAACTTACCAAAAAGGAGAAGTTTTACAGACAACTAAATAGAGTAGGGGGAGATTCCTGTAAGTGAAAAATAAAAGTTTAGATGTTCCCTCCATATACCAAATTCAAAATGATAGTTTTGACCCAAAAAACTAAAATTATATACCCAGCCAAGTTGGCATTCACTGGCTAAGGAAATAGAAAAACATCTTCAGACATACAGGACCATCAAGAAAACACACACCAAAGTCTTCCCCTTCTTGGAAATATGCAAAAATAAAAAAAAAATGAGTATCACTTACTGTCAAATGAGTGATAAATCAGAATAAGAGTTGAGAGTTGTGATATAAAAGTATGAGCAATAAATATTGCAAGCAAAGGCAAAAATAATAACAAATCAAATACATAAATCTAGAAATTTTCTTTGAGGTAAAAATAGAAAAGTAAAAGAATAATAGTTTAATAACTATAATCTGACTCCCCTAACTCAGTAAGGAGAGCCAAAGTGGGCGAAAGGGTTGGTGAAAGATGGGAAAGAATGCAGAACAAAGTAAAATAATGCTAAAAGCTCATCTTATACAGAAAAGGAGCAGGGCAAAAGACAGCTTTAAGTTCTTTGATCCTTAGTGAAATGTAGACTGAAGAAAGATATTGAAAAAAACAAAGAGATACACAATACTGAATTTCAAGCAGAATGTGAGCAGAAGAAGGAGACTAACACAATATGACCCATGTAGCAATACCGAAAGCAAAGCATTAGTAATAACTTAAAGCTGGAAGTCTAATACAAGATGATACCATAAACATAAACATATTGGCAATCAGGGAAATAAAAATTTAAATAATAATAATAATAAGGGAGTATTTTTCATGATCAGATTGGCCAAATTTGTCCAATATGGACAAGGATGTAAGGAGATGGGCACTCAACTCTGATCATAGAAATAGCTAATTGGTCCAGGCACAGTGGCCCACACCTGTAATCCCAGATACTTGGGAGGCTGAGGCAGGAGGATTGCAAATTCAAAGCCAGCCTCAGCAAAAGTGAGGCACTAAGCAACTCGGTGAGACCCCATCTAAATAAAACACAAAATAGGGCTGGGGATGTGGCTCAGTGGTTGAGTGCCCTATAATTCAATCCCCAGTACCCAAAGATAAAGAAATGTTGAATTAGAACAGCCTCCATAGAGGGTATGGAGGCTAATTTATCAAAGTGAATTGAAACTCAAGAGTGTAAAAACTACAGAAATGATACATATTAGTAACAATATATATGCCAAATACAAAGTGACAATAATATATATGCTAACTTTTTAATGGTAGTGTTACTTATGATTTTAAAAATGGAAATAACCTAAGTGTCCATCAGGAGCATGAGGGGGAAATAAATTGTGTTATATGTATGTAATCAATTATTATTCAATAATTAAAACAATGAGAAAGACCTGTATGGCATGACATAGAAAAATCTTCAAGATATTAATCTAATATATTAAATCTATATTAATCTAATATATATATTCATTGGGGGGCAATATGAATAGTATTATAATATGCAGTCATTTTTTGTCCTACATTCTGCATTAGTATAGGTGTATGTAAATACATAAAAAAATGTCTAGGGGAATATGTTGTAAACTCTTAATAGACATCTTTGGAAGGGAGTAGTTTTCCCTTCTATTTTGCACATTCTGTACATTTTGCATGTTTATACAGCAAATGCATCACTTGAGTGATTGTGTTTTGTCTTCTTACTAGGCCATACTGAAATGTCAGTTCCGAAATCTTCCCCTTCCAGGGAAGTCATAAATGCACATGAACACTCAGTCAATTACTTCCTGGCGTGGATGGAAATTTCCCTGCAAGTCAATCCTATAGAACAAGGGGAATTCGGAAAAGAGGGAGAGATGGGGCCATTTTCAGAAGGGGCTATGGTGGGGACAGAGACTCATTGTGAGAGCATGTCCACCTGAACCCATACCCACCCCTTGAATCACTTCCATATTTTGTCTGTTCTTCCCAGGCACTTTTTGCCCACTGCAACCTGAATAAATAAATGCAGTCTAAATGTAGATGGTAGGTAAAAACCTACTGGACATCTTGGAATTTCACAAAGGCTCAGAAGCTAAATAACAATTTGTTGGATTTCTTTCTTTTAAATATTATTACTGTTGATTTATTTCAGTTTTCATTTATTTGATTACAAATGACCTTTTATATTTCTGATTTACTTCATGTTTGTTGATTCTTTTGGATATTGTTCAAATAGGTTTCTATTTCTATCTTAACCCTGCGGGGGGTACCATTTAATGTAAACCAAAAACTTCCAAATACCTAAAACAAGCAGGACTGTAACTAAAAAGTTATTATGCTGTTTAGGGATAAAAAGACCTGATTCAATATTGAGTGGGAAGAAGAATCAAACAGTTTTCTACCAACTGGATTCGGGAAAATTATCTTTGAATTTGTTTCTATATCTTCTGAGATTGACCTGATAAACTAAATTATTCATGGACTAGGACTCAGGGGAACAATTCCTTGGATTTCTAAAGAGGCCAATGCAGGCCAGCACCCTCAATAGCCAGTGCAGAGAGGGCAGGCTAACCATAGGACACCATAGTAGGTAGTGGACTATGCGAAATGCTGAATGAGAGGCTGAGCCACTCATGCCCGGGCCCGGTGGTGGTGGGGGGGACAGGACAAAGATCAACCACACCAGTGAAAGTCAGAAAACTTTTCAATACTTGTGCAGAAGGGCAGTGAGCCATTTCTTTCACTGTAGAAAGCCCCCTTTCTGGGCTCGGTGTCCCAGGCCAGAGAGACAGCTCCAGGTGGAATTCAGTTTTCAAGTGTCCCTGCACATATCCAGCCTGAGAAAGTAACTTTGAAAGTCCACATCCCTGTGTTTCAAAGATTCTCCCCCAAAGATATGCACTGCTGCGGGGGTCTCCACTCAACTGGTGACATGTCACATTTCTAAAAGGGAAACTAATGGTATCCTTTTCTCTACCAGGTTTGGATCACTAGTCTGGGGCAAATTCTGAAGTCAAATCCTCTTCTGTAAGACATGGACTGACCAACATGGAAGGTGGTTGTTGGGGACTTGAGTTCTAAGTCGTGAGTCCTGGTGACGTAACTTGAGGGTCTGAATCCATATAATAAGGAATCTTGTTTTATATAATTTAGACAGATTGTTCATAAGAGAAATAAGACTGAGCCCTTAAAGGGGGAGGAGGAGGTGCATATGTAGACGGGGAGGTCTTCAGCCAGGGAGTCTCAAGCTGATCCGAAGCTGACAAGCCATGTGAGTGTGTGTGACCATGAAAACAGTGAATTAGTTGCCAGACAGAGTAAATGCCCTAAAACCAAGATATGATTTTAAATGCTTTTATTCCAAATATTTATTCATAGGTCAAGCCTCATATTTCATTTCATTAATGCATTCATATTGCACCTGTTTTCCTGTCCCCGAGCTGCTTTACATATCCAAATGAACAAATACCGATTCTCTCCAGGTTCCCCGGCTGTCTCTTAACTCTCGGCCTCTGACACTCTTCTTCCCTCCTGACTGGGAATTCTGCTCTTTTGATCCTATTCAATCCCCAACTACAGTCCCATGTTCCCACCCTCAGAGTTGCCCACACCTCTCCCTTTGTTTTGCTCCAAAAGATGCCAGGCTGGAGGTAGTTTTTCTCTGATTTAAAATCTCAACATTAAAAAAAGCTTTACCAAGTCAATCTTGACCCCTTGGTTCTAAAGAGGAAGTAATAAGAGAAGAATCTGCTGATCCCAAGTGTGGCTTTTGTCAAAATTCTTTAAATAAACCTTTGTCACTGAATCAGACTCAACTGATCAATTTTAACGGTTTAACAAAAAAATCGCCCCTCATTGAGCATAACAATCTAATCACCAGGCAAATTCTACTGAACAAGAATCAGGGGAATTGGGGGGCTCTTCCCTTTCAGAATGCTGCACTTAGAAACCTAAAATAATTCAGCTCCACTGGAAACTCCACCCTGGAAAAGCAACCTTGTATTTTATCTCCAGATTTCTGGATAGTAGCTATTTTTCTAAACTTTCAATTGATGTATAAGTGCATTAATGTGCACAAACTTCAACATGTACACCTCATGAATTTTTACAAGCTAAACACCCTTGTGTAACTAGCAGTAGATCAAGATTTAGGACATTTCCCATATCCCAGAAACCTCCCTTATGTCCCCTCCCAGTCATTAACTCAGTCAAATATAACTGCAATTCTAACTTCTTTTACTATAGATGAGTTTGGTCTGGTTTTAAACTTTATATAAGTGGAATCATACCACATTTGCTCTTTTATGGCTGGCTTCTTTTGTGCATATAATATATGAGGTGACTCTGCACTATAGTGAGTATCATTAATTCCTTCTTTTTCACTGCTGTATAGTAGTCTGTTATGTGAATATTTCATGGTGTGTTATATGAATATATCATATTATATGAATATAATATGGTAGATTTTATTAATATACCATTCTATTGTTGATATACATCTGCATTAATTTCTGTTTTAGGAATGATGAGTAATGCTTTTACAAACTTTGTAGTAATTACCTTATGTTACACACATTTATAAAAGTTCTTCAGGTTTATATCTAAGAATGGAAATGTTAGATCATAGGTTACATATATGTTCAGTTTTACAAGAAATCGCCAAGGTTTGGCAAAGTGATATTACCAATTTATGCTTCCACCTACAATGTACGAGAATCCTAGTTCTCTATGTCCTCTACAACACTCAGTGTGGTGAACGTGTAAATTGCAAACATGCTCATGTTGGTCAGTAACAGCTCGTTGTGGTATTACTCTGAATTTCCCTGATATGAATATCTTTCTCCTTTGCTTACCACTTCACTCTCCTTAATGATAATAAGAGAGTCTTTATTTTATTGAAGTCAGTTTATCAGACTTTCAGTTTTGTTTATTCTTTGTATTCTAGTTAGGAAATTTTTCTGTATTCCAAAGTCTTAAATACATTGTGTAATACATTGTTATCATCAATAAAATATATTTCAGGTAGATCTGAAATCCACTGAGAATTGATTTTTGTGTATGACCTGAGATAGAGGATAAAGTGCTTCTTTCCCCCATATTCATATACAACTGATCCATCCATGTTGATTGAAGAAAGAGAGAAAAAAAGCCATTAGCACTATAGTATATATATACTATATCATCATAAATAAAACACCCTGAGATGCATGTGGTTTCTGGACTTCCTATTCTGTTCCTTTAGTCAATTTGTCTATCCTGCGGTCAAGAAAATAGTGTTAACCCCTGTGGACTTGTAAGAAGTCTTGATGTCTGAAAGTCTACATCTTCCCATCCCTCATCTTCTTCTGGCTTATCTTCACTCCTCTTGACCCCGTTGAATTTGTGTATAAATTTTATAATCCATTTGTCAATTTCTACCTTCAAAACTGCCAGAAAAAAATTTTTTCAGTAATAGGAATCAAACCCAGGATCTTGTTCAGACTAGGGAAACAAGCACTCTACCAATGAGCTACCTTCCCAGCCATTGGATCTACAGATCCATCTGGGGAGAGATATTAAGTTTTCAATATTGAATCTTCCAATTGGTGAACAGGTGATAGTCCTCTACTTATTTAGATATTTTATTTCTCTCAGTAATATTTTATAATTATCTGTCTACAAGCTTTGCATACCTTGAATTTCATTTCCTAGCTAATATGCTTGATGCTAGTACAAGTGGCACCTTTTAAAAAATTGGTTTTCTATTATCTGTTCCTGCTCTACATCAATACTATTGAATTATATATTTTGATTTTGTCATATAGAGTGGCCTTGCTAAATTAACTATTATCAATCCTAATAGTTCATTTTTTGTTGATTCTTTTGAAGTTTCCAAGTGTACAATCCTGTCATCTGCAAACAAAGTGGTTCCATTTCTTCCTATATAGTGCTTGTGTCTTTTATTTCATTTTCTTTACGTATTACATAAGCTAGGAGTTTCAATAAAATGACGAATAAAAGAGTCAGTAGAAGACCTCTTTACCTCATTTCTGATACTGTGGCAAGATTCCTAACTATTTAATCATTAAGAATGACGTTTTCTATTAGGGTTTTTTTTTTAAATATCCTTTACCAAATTAGTTAGTTTCTATTCCTAGTTTAATAAGGAGTTTTTCATGAAATGATATAAAATTTTATCAAATGCTATTTCTTATTGAAGTGATCGTATTTTTCTTCTTTTATCCCATTAAAATTTCTGCATATTTATACTGTGGTCAGAGCATGTGTGGATTTGAATTTTTGAAGTCTATTGAGACATGCTGTATGAGCCAGCATATAGTCTATTTTGGAAATGTTTCACATGCACTTAAAAAGAAAGTACATATCTGCAATCATTAAGTACAGTGTTTTATATATATATATACTTTGATAAATTTTGTGGGTTGTGTTATTCACATTTTGTATATTCTTACCAATTTTTATCCTTTATAATCAATAACAGAAATATAATTAGAAAAATCACTAAATGACCAGTAATTAAGCAATGCTACTTCAATTAACTCATGCATAAAGAAATACAATGATTAAGTAAAGCAATGTTTAAAGAAGACATATAGAATTAAAGCTTCTGCAGGAAGAGGAATAAAGCTTCAATTGATTTATCTTCCTTTTGAACTGGGCCTTTGAATATTGTGAACTGTCTCTTTCTCTGTGTAATAGTGCTTTTCAACCGGGTACAGTTGGTGATGTCTGGAGCCATTTTGGGTGGTTGCAAATCAAGTAGAGAATATCCTGACATTGAGTGAGTAAAGAACAGGGGTGCTGATGAGCATCACCAAGCACAGGACAGTCCCTGCCTGAAATGTCAACAGGGCTGAGTTGAAAGAGCCCTGCTCTATAATAACAGATTACAACATATATTTTTAATAGTCTACCACATATGAATACCTTTAACCACATCTCAGAAAATGCAAAGGTCACTCTGACACTTTATACAGTCCCCTATTCTATTTTTATGGTTTTTCAAATCATATATTTATTTTCTAAAAATATTTTACATCTCACATTATTGTCATTGTTGCTCTCTGCATGCAGTATTGATTCATGTTTTTCACATACTTATCCCCCATTCCTTCCTGAATTTTCATAGTTCAATTTGGGAACATTTTCCTCTGCCTGAAGAATGCCTTTAACTCTTTGTTTCAGTGATCATCTGCTATAGATGATTCCGTGAGTTTTTATTTGTCTCAAAATATCATTTTGTTTGTTTGTTTGTTTGTTTTATCATCGTTTTGAAGACTATTTTCCTTGGTACAAAATTGTAAGTAGACAGTTGCAACACTTTACATGTGCTGTGTGCTGTTGTTCCCTGGCTTCCATCCATTTTCTTAAAAATCAGGTGTTGATCATATTGTTGCTTCTGTGAACATATTTACTTTCTGTCTTCTTTTGAGATTGTTTTTGTCTTTCATCTGTTTCACTGCAATGTGTCTAGGTATAGTTTTCTTTGCATTGTGCTACCTATGACACCTAAAGCTTCTGCATCTGTGATTGATGTCCCATGAGTTTATGAAAATTCTGGGTTAATGTATCTTCAAATATTCCATTTTGCCTCTTTCCCCTCTAGATCTCTAATAACATAGGTTAGGCCTTTTTACCATTTTCCATATGTATCTTATATTTTATACTTTCCTCCTTCTCTCTATGTGTCAGTCTGAATATTTCCTGTTGGCCTCTTTCACTTCAACTATCACTTTCCTAAACCCATTCATTGAATAATTAAATTAAAGACAATTTTAGTTGCAGAAATTTAATTTCATTTATTTTTATACATTCCTGTTCTCTACTGAAGTCTTTCATTATTTCTCTATTTTATTGAGTATATTAATAACAGTTATTTTTATTTAGGCCTGGGCCTGAGAGCCAATATCTGAGTCACCCCATGAGTCTGCTTGGTTGGCTGTTTAGTTGTATTTCTTTGATGTTTTGTTTTATTTAACTGTTTCTGGAGGTTTGTTATTGTTTGGGTTTGGTTTGTTTGGGTTCTTTTTATTCATGATCATTTGGTCTAATTTCCTATTACATCTACCAATTTTTTTTATTTTAATGTGTTAGAAATCCTCTCTATGGATTCTGGAAGACAGATGGAAAACTAGAAGATTATTTTGACCTGGGTAAGTTAAGTCTACTTCTAGTTCTCCCTTGTTGCTTCTACTTGGCCCTTCAGGAATCTCAATTGAAAACTTGGACTCTTTAACAAAGCCCCTCCTCCTGAATTCATTTGTCACAGTCCTCAGCACTGTGACACTACTCTCTCTGCTTCAGGTTTTAGCCTCTTGCAGCTGTTTTCTGCTTAGTTTATCAGCCTCTATTTCCACATGTTTACTACTTAGAGTGTGACAAGTTACTCAAGGGAAAACTGCAAGCAGAATATAGGGCTCAGCTAAAGTCACCTCTCCCCTAGTCCTTGGCTCCTCTCCTGGTCCTGGCTCCTCCAGTTCTGGTTGCCTTGGGAGCCCTGAGCACTGGTATTTGGCTCTGGGCCCAATGAATATCCTGCTACAAGTTTTATGTTTAGATTCAAAGTCCTAAATAGAAAAATTAACAGTTAATGTCAGGCTCACCTTAATGAATTTTAATTCTCTTAAGGATCTTGACCTATGGTCCTGACTGCCTTGATTTCCCTTCATTGTTGCAAACATCTGTTTTATAGTTATCCTTAGCAGGAGGGTTAGTCCAATACTAACTACTCAATCTTAATCAAAAGCAGGAGTGGTAATTACTTTTTTTTAAAAAAAAGAGATTCCTTCTTTTTAATGGTCCTTTATTTTGTTAGTTTATTTATATTCCGTGCTAAGAATCAAACCCAGTATCTCACATAAGCCAGGCAAGTGCTCTACCACTGAGCCACAACCCCAGCTCCAGTAATTACTTTTTAATAGCCTACAAGCAATACAAAGTTAAGAACTAATTGGATTCATTAAATTATTTGGTTAATTAGACTAATAACTACCTTGAATTTCCATAGCCCCACTCTTTCAAGAATTTCAAAGCATTTTCAAACATTATCAAAATACCACTACTAGTTCTCTCACTTTAATTTATAAATTTTAAATTGTCATAAGTAATAAAGTATCTCAAGTTCTTAAGCATGTAGGTATTCAAGAGAAATCAGGAATAGCAGGCACTAGACATGCTGATTACCAAAATAATCAGAGTGATTTGAAATCCCAAGAAATGACTTCCCCATAAAGACACCACGATTTCTATTAAGCATGTAACTCCCCATAACCTCTTGTGCCCTAAGTGCTGGTTTGGGTACCTCATCAAGTAAAGTAAATATATCAGTTTCAAAACCACTCAACAGCATTTTAAAACATAATTATAGTGAAATAATTCTGTAAGACCTTCAGGACAACAAATACTGCAGTTTGAGTCAAACTAAGATTCTCATGTAAGTAAAGTCAGAACATTATTACAAAATATATTCTGGTTCTTCATTTAGGTTTACTGCAGCAGTAACCTTTGAAGTAATACAGAGCTCTGTGGAGATTTCCCCATATCTTCTCTCCAGAATTGGCATTAAACCTGTATTTCTTACAAAATTTCTTACAAATTCCTTCCAGAGAAACATATCCAGTTTATAAAAGGAATCTAAAGAGCTTGTTTTTAACTGAATAGGGAGAAAAGTTACTAAATAAGCAGTAAAAGGCCTAGACCTTAACTCTAAATCATAGGAAATAGTTACAAATGAAACACAGGCACCCAATAGACACCAAATAAATATTTGATGATATTGATTTCTTGCATCCTACAATGAGTTTTTAGTGGGACTTTGATAGTAATTGGGTACCTCATCTTAATAACTTGACACAAATGCATTTGGAATAATCCATCATTGTGTTTCTCTGGGATTCCAAATAACAAGCACCACAAACAGTAAGAACAGGTTGACCTCACAAGGGCCCTTACAGTCCTGTGACTTAAGTGGAAGATGACATTTTTATAGATAATTTCTGTCCAGAACTGGAAGTATCTCACAGACAGTGACTGGACTTTCCACTTTTTTTTTGAAAGACTACAAAGAAATATAATTATGCTGTTTCCAAATTGGCAAGCACACAGAAATAAAATAATTCAATAAGGATCCCACAATGTGCCCACCTAAGTTAGAAAGAGTGTCTGGGTGTCCCCACTACCAATTCAATGTGTTATTGATCCATATTGACTTTCTACTTACTGTTATTCCCTACACTGTCTGCTTTATAGACCAAATCCCAAGTACTAGAGTACTTCTAATATATTTGTCTAATATAGTTGTACCATTCTTATGTTTGCAGATTGGCCACCTCCAGTGTAATTCTTGTATTGCACAGCTCACTTGTCGTATTTAGTAATAATCAATAAAGCAAAATAATGTAATTGAGGAATAGGAGGAGACTTGACAGCTCTTTTCATTCATGCATTTACAAGCCAAAGAATAGTTTTGTTGTTGTTGTTGAATGTTTCTAGTTATCGTGCAGGTGATAAAACTCAAGAAAGGATGGGCAATAGGGCATTTAGCACAATAAGAGTAATCTAGACTCTAAACAATTACTCCATGAAGCTGAAAATCCAAAGGAGTTTTAGAAAGTGTTTACCATTTGAGTTTATGCAAGGAACAAATCAAACGTTTGTCATAATTCACTAACATATTTCAATTGCCCTCACTTCATAGTGAGAGAGGACCCATGGAAGATCTTGTAAACCAGTTCCTACTCTTTTCATCTGTCTCTAAATTCAGTTGTGCTTTTGGTTAACAGTATGCAATATGCTGAACTTCCCTCAAAACCTTGAAACTGTCTCACCAGCCTCAGGGTAAAAGAGAAATTGTGTCAGTAGCAACCAAACTGCCAGAAGGAGCAGCTCAAATGTTTCCCAACATCCAGTCAACACCTGGCAAACGTCTAGTGGCTGGAAGAGCTAGCGTGCCCAGTGGAACAGATGTGGAAGATGGATAAGGTGAACACACGTCCCGTATTGGAATGTTGCTTGCTCTATTTTGTTTTGCTTGTGTGAGCAGACTGCTAACTCTTTATCTCTCTACAGCCCTTTTCTACATGAAGGTTGGCAGAACACATGGCACCAACTACCCTCCAAGGAAAGCCAAGGGTGCAGTAGGGAAAGCAATGTGGTCAGGCCAGGCAGACTGGGCAGCCCACCTGCAGAGCTCCCGACCTCCCCAGCACCCTGCTGAGAAGTAGACTTTCAGGTACCTCTGGCTCTTTTTGTGTTTGGCTTACTCATTCCCCCTAAAGAGGACTTTGCTCTAGATTACACTGCTCACCTCCCTCTACCATTTCTCAGGTTGCATTCAGAATCAGAAAATCCAAGAAATATATTCACAGATGTTCCCTTGTTTATTTGTTGACTCTGTGTAATTTGTTTGCCCTAATTTGTTTTTGTCTACCTTGGGACTTCCCTTTTTAATTTCCCTTTCTCTGTTTACCCCTCTTTGTGGAGCAGCGGTCTGTTAAGCTGTGAGAGGCACACGCCAAATTAAAAAAAAAAAAAAAAGAAAAAAAAAAAACAGCACTGCAGATTGTTTTAAGCATGGGCTGCCCCTTTGGGCCTGAAGGCCTTGCTTGAAGCCTGCACCTGCTCCTCCTCCTGAGACGTGGGGCTCCTGATCTTTATCCCTTGCCTTTAAGCTGCCTGATTCCTATTATCCAAAGTCAAACAGCGTTCTCTACATTCACGCCTCCAGCACTTGGCATGAAATTAATAAGCCTGGCTGATATATTTCCCTGGAAGCCTGCCACTCTTTAACAGTGGTGTTAGATTAAAAATTTTGGCATGGTTAATGAACAGGGAAAAGCTGAAGCCAAAAGTTTCATGCAGCAATGCAAAGATTGGGGGGTTATGAAAAGAATACCAACTTTCTTCATATTTTCTGAATGCCATCCTAATTACAGGGTTAGATAACAAACACAACTAGACAGTCAGCACTAGAAGAAAGGGTATATTCTCGGGCTCCACTTGTATTTAGATTTTATCATCTGCCTTTTCAATCACATGGCCTTCTGTTACACTGGGTTATCTAAAATTGTAATAATAGCTATTTGTGCTCTAAACAGGCCTCCTCTCATCCCAGGTCACTATTTTTCTCATTAAAAGAGCACTATGAATGAGGTTCAGGCCAAAAACTGATCTTCCCAAAGTGAAAGTCAATTCAGTAAGAGGTTATTCTGAGCTTATTAAAGACCATTGTCTCCCTGTTAGAGATCTCATAGTCAGTGCTTGAGTCTACTGCCATGGTCTCTAAATCACAAAGCACCTCCTCCCCACTGCAGGAGAAATGCTGGTTACCAAGTCAACCCATGCTCCCCATCCCCTCCTAAGCACAGCATCAACCCTAGAGAATGAGTTCCACCCAGAAAATGCAAAATCTAGAGGTCCTCTTGACCTATCCCACTGGATGGGGTGTTATAGAAGGTCTGACAACGGTTAGCAAAATCTAGGCAAATCCTTATCTCCCATTCCATCTCATTGTAGTAAGGCATACAGACACAAGTCCTCTCTTCCCAGTAACCTGTCTCTGCTTCTGAAGAATTAATGCCACACAACCAGCAGAAGCCTGGGATTATGTAAGAACCAAAATGTGGCAAGATGCAGGAAAGAAGTAGAACAAAAAGAAAAGTTATATGTCTGCTTAGTGAAAACAGATATGCTCTACAACCTTGTTCTGGACCCTGAAGAATGGGACTAGGAGATACAGTGATCAACAGGTACATGCCACCACTCTTTAGGAACTCCTAGCAATAAGTCCCAAGACCTGGCAAAGGTGGAATCATAGGGTCTACAGAGTTACCCAATTCTTTGGTACAGTTAGAAAAGCCTAAGCAAAGAGCTCAGAAAGGGATATTCAACTGATAAAATGCAAGGTTTGTTTTTCATGTGCTCTAAAGCATTAGGCAAAATCCAACCCAACTATCTATGGTGTATGGATTATATAAATCTAACAGTCTATTGTTTTTAGTTTGTGTTTTCATTTCAAAAGATAAGTGTCATGTCAAAATTGTCAGTATCACTCAAAAATTCATTTCCAACCAAAAGAAATTAACCAGATGTAGATGCATGGGAACCATATCATCCCCATTTTGTATTGGCCAATGTGACATCCATTTTTGCGCATATAAACTATCTAATCAATGATTGAAAGAAGAAATATAAATGGGAAATACCACTCCCTGGGCTGAAAATAGGAAGTATGACTAACATTATTCTCTTAGGTTACTGGGAAAGAAAAGGCTTTTAAAGGACATGCAGATTTCTTCAGGAGACAAGAGTTGACCCTTGGTAGAGTCAAATCAATTTCATAGCAACCTATTACAATAGGCGTCTACTGTATTCATAATTGCAGGATACTTCAAAGCTTTTTCTCAATATAAAGTAAGCATAAAGAGATCAAAGCTCCCAGACCACACATAATGCAGTTGAAAGTTGTCCCAACATGTTCTCTGCCTGCAAGACAAATAAGTTAAATATATTTGCAAATGTCAACTTCTTCCCTTTTAATGCCTCTTAAATCAGGTCAGTGAGTCTGTTTTGGAAACAGAAGTAGGATGACTCATAGATACTTCTTTGGCTCATTACCCAAGCTTAGATAGCAAAGCAACTCAATTTTAAGCACTCTGGAATTGCCCTACAGTCCAGATCCTTAGGACATTGTTACATTCTGACCATTTACATTCATAGCCCTGGTCCTTTGTTCAATATACTTCCATTGAACACTTCCTATTATCATGTTATCTGAAAAAAAAAAAGCCCATTTTTAAAAACCATTTAGCTTTTTTGATTCTAAGACTAAATGCTGGCTTGCTCCTATGAATGCACTGAAAGTTTTGACTCTCAAACCAAATTTGCCCTGATCACTAAATTCCTTTCAAGGTAAGATGAATCTTTGTAATAGATAATCTGTCCCATTCTAAAGATGCCAATATCTCAACATGCATATTTTATCTTTTATCCATATTTTTCCAGGAAATACTGTTGGGAGAATAGGTATTGGGTATAAAAACTGGCATGATGACTCCTAACCAGAATTCTCTCTCTTCCTTTAAAATGTGACCAACCAGAATTTATTCTAGCTCTCATCTTTCCCCAAGATTCTCATGTCCTAGGCTAGGTTAGACACTTCTCATGGCCCCTACTTGCCCCAAGCACTCCAGCATGACCTCCCATTATATCCTTTAAGATACTCCATGTTTCAGTCAAATTATCCACTACTAAACATGGATCAGGTACATGCTGTCATAGCACCCAGTACTTAATGTCCATGGAACTCACCATCATAAAATCATTTGCATGAAGCCTAACAACCTTGTATCCCTGAGCCCAGCCCCTCTGTCTAGCATAAAATGGTGCCCCCTTCAGAGTTAATAAGGAAAAGAATAAATTAATGGACCCATGACCTGTCCTGCTTCTGTAAACTCATTTACTGACCTTTGTTTGCCTTCAATTATAAGCTCTGCCTGTGTATGTTCTATTTTCCTTTGAAGCACAGCTCAGATCCAAACATGTCCAAATGTACTCGTTTATGATTTCTCCAACTTCCCTCAAATATTTATTCAGCATCTATCCCACAACAAGGCTGTTTCCCTCGTCTGAATTCCCATGGTCCTCTCCTCATACCTGTCTTAGGAAACTTGCCACAATTTCTCTTGTCATCAAGTTAGTTTTATGTTATCTCAGCATCTCTACAAGAGGGTAAACACCTTCGGGGCATATCTCATGTCCACACTCTCAACCTTCCCACATTTCCTGAGCAAGGGGAATGCATCCTCATGCCAGCGTACATAGAAAAATTCTGAAATTAATATGCTTTGGATAAATAAGTGAATGGGTAATTATTTATAGTCAGCCCAATGCGTTGAAGACAAAAATCTTTTTCTATGCTGCTTCTTATTCCAAATAGCACAAACTTCCAGAAGCAACTGTCTAGAATGAATAAGAACACAAGGAGGATTCAAGTGTAAGAAAGATCTTAATGATTTGGGGGTGGGCAAGAGTCGTTCTCATGAATTGAAAAAGGCTTCAGGCCCTAAAGTATCACTCCTGCATTTTCCCCATTCTCTCACCAACCTAATTGATCCAGCTTAGAAATATCCTGTGGCATCTTCCCAGATATCCCATTTCTGGCAATTATAAGCTCCACTAAATAATATACAACTCAGAGACTAAGCACAACCTTGAGCTTGTGGGAGGAGAGGCTCAGACAATGTCCCTACTTGTGTTCCCAGAATCACAGGCAGACAACTTGGGCATTATATTAGTTTCCTGTTGCTGTTATAACAACTTTCTATAAATTTAAAAGTTTAAAACAACACAGACTTATTATATTAAAGTTCTGGCCTTTGGAGATTTAAAATTGGTCTCACAAAGCTAAAAATCAAGGTGTAAGTGGGAGTGTGTTCCTTCTGGAAGCTCTAGGGCAGAAGTCTTCTCCTTACCTTTACCTACTCCTGAAGGCCACCAGTTTTCCTCAGCTCATGGTCCTATTTTTCCATCTTCAAAGCCAATAATGTCAAGCCAATTTCTTCTCATACTGCCATCTCCCTGGTTCTCCCTTTTCTGCTTCTCTCTTCAGCTTTTAATGACTCTTGCGATTGCACTGAACTCACTTGTATAAAACTCCCATTGTAAGTATGGTCTTTCCATTTTAAAGTCAGCTAATTAGCAAACTTAATTCATTCACAACCTTAATTGCCTTTGTCCATGTAAACTAACATATTCATAGGTTCCGGGGATTAGGACATGGACATCATCGTGGGCCATTATCCTGACTACTACAGGCATATTGAGTAAGAGAATCAAAGTCTCAAAGTCCTGGGAGGCACCGGCCCAGGATAGAGCCGGCTAAAGAACATTGTCAACAGACAGCCATCGATTGTGGTACCAGCACTGCTCTTCATCCACGTGAATCTTACCAGTCTGCCCTGCCGCTAAGGTAGTTCCATTGCTCCTTTCAGGGAATGCTGTGAATTGATGAACTCACTTATAAGAAGGAACTTCACCTGTCTTTTCCATGACATAGGAGGTCCCCAAGGAAGGGATGACATGGAGATGCAGAGAGACAATTTACAATTGGTAAAATTTTAGACTTCATTTGGGATGTTATTTGAACGGTTTTCAAAATACATCATGTATGTGTTCCTCAAAATACCTTTGTAATTAAGCTGACCTTATTAGAAAGCAAAAACAGTCTGATCATAAGATCATCCATGTGAGTGAGAAGGAGAATGAGGCAAAACACAAACACAAACACACACACACACACACACTTAATTTCTTGTATTGTTCTTCAATGTTAAAAGGACCTTTTTCTCAAAAAGAAACTTAAATAGGAAAACAGTAACTTTTCCATTACAATTTGCTGCTGCCACCCCCTTAGGGGTGCCACTGAGGGTCGGTTAATGTCCTGTGACAAGCAAGGGTGAGATTCTTTATGGGGTAGTGTTTATCCTCACCATATGTTTTCTGGTGTTGACTAGAGTGTTAATTGATGTTTCAGGAATCAGGAGGAGGAACATCAAGGGCATCTAGGGAGACCTCATCATCTAGTGTCCCCCTACCCTCAATTAGTAGGTTAACACATGTCTAAATGCTCATAATTTGTGCTGATCTACTGCTTAGCCAGCAAATGGGTCCCACTTGGAATGTGCTATATGTCAGCCTTACAGTTTCTCTGACTTCTATTTTACTTAGGAAAAAAAGAAGGAGGCTCTTTTCTTAATAGGGTGGCTGCAAAAATAAAAGAGACTGTGACTACACTAGGATCATGAGTGGTTGAAGCCTTAAATGGCAGCTGGTCACCCCCTTCTCCAGGAAGGCCCCACCCCACTGTCCAGCACCAGCTCATTTCCCATTCTTTATCCCACAGTTTCACCTATTCTCTGGGCATGAACAGCTCATTCCTTAGTCTGACAAAGCCCTTCTCCTCTTTCATTTTTTCTTTCCAAGTCCACACAAGATCTACTTCAGCAAGCTCCCTAAATACTTCTTAAATATTCAACCCCACTACAAATAAAGTCATTCAACTTAAAAACTACATTGGAAGTGAGAAACTCTAAATGGAAAAGATCCATAACTGATGATGCTCAATCTAAAAAGGTTGCTAACAACATGAACAAGCAGGTGCCACAGTTTGGAGTGTTCGGAACAATTTATCTGAAGGGCAATTTGGACACAATTATCAAGAGTCCTTTAAATGTTCATGTTCTTTGACTCAGTAACTCCTCCTCAGAAATTCATATTGAGGAAATGAAGAGAAATGCCAAAGAATTATGTTCAATGTTTTTCATCCCTAAGTTATTTGATATTGGAACAAAATCTTAGGAAAAAAATGAATTTCAACAATAGAAATGTAATGATATCAAGTGTTAGAAAAATATTTAACAAAAAGGAAAATGGTAAAAATACAATTTTAAGCAAAAAGCAGGATATATTTTTATTCCCGAATTTGTTTCATATATTGAATTATTCAACATTTTGCCTCATATTTTTTTTATTATTGCTATTCTCCCATGTGGGGTATTAATTATGTCAGGGAAGAGATGACACAGCACAAAGTAGAAAACATAGGAGTCAATTTTTGGCTTCAAAAGCCTCAGCCCTGATACAGACAAAATACGAATGGGAAGAGGCACCTAGAAGAAGAGCAGAGGTTCCCCCACATAGCCTGCCCCAAGCTCAGATGGAGTCTCTTGCCTGGAATAAAAGGGATGTAGGGGATGTGGAGGAGCAGTATATATAACAGGTATGGGTGTGTGTGCGTGAGTGCGTGTGTGTGTGTGTGTGTGTGTGTGTGTGTGTGTGTGTGTGTGTTCAAGAGAAAGCACAAAGTATCATGATAGATTGGCAATACTAAGTGCAAAGAGATCCTAAGCCCTTCCTGGGCAGAGCCCTGGGAAATCAGTAAAGTGGCACAGAGAAAGAAATGGCCATGTGCTATGTGTAGACAGGTTAGTCCTCCAACACACACACACACACACACACACGCACACACACGCACACACACACATAGACACACACACAATTCCCAGTAAACTATTGAATCAGTGTGTCCAGCAATGGCACAGAGTGAGTGTCTGCAGCCCAGGGGCCACCAAAACAGCCTAACAATCCTTATATGACTCCTAGAGGAAGAAAGGGGCTGAGAGACCAAAATCGCAGTGAAGCCTATGATCAGGAATGAGGGGGTCAGGAATGAGGCAAGGTGCAACAGAAAACTGCATGATGTCTCAGCAGTAGCAACACAGGAACAAGACACTCAGAGGAATAGGGCTTACTCTCCTACAAAGCCTTAACAGCCTGAGATCAGAGTTTCCCCCCATTTTGTATGTCATTGTCCCTGACTCACCATAAAATCAGGTTTGAAACCTCTGATCTATGTCCAGTCAGCTTTCAAATCCCATGCCTGGCCCATTCCATCGACTCTGACTGCCCCACTCAGAGGAAACCCTCCTCCAGCACCACCACTGGATGACGGGACCCAGGCGTAGGCTCTCGCCATCCAGGCTCTCCACTCCCCCAGGCTGCAGGTAAAGTCATCCTTCTGAAACATCCCACTGTCATGCTCAGAAACCTCCTAGTCCTCAGCCTAGAGCCCAGGCTTCACTTAGCCCTGAGTTCACATGAAAACCAGACCTGCCCAATGCATCGACATAAGTCCTGATTCTCTGCAAAAGAAATTCCATATTGGCTTCTCTCTTTTCTTGCCTGGAGCATCTTTGTAACTCTAACTTACTCCTCAAAATCCCAAGTCAAGTCCCATTGTATCTAGCGATACATCGCTATCCTTTCAGTTTCTTTCAGCTCTCCCTTCCCTTTGATTCCTATCACATTTATTATCTAAGCCATCACTTAATCATATGTGGCTGCATAACTGAAGCCTGTTGTGTCTTTACAGCTTAATTGCCCAACAAGGCCAAGCTCCCAGTGGTCAGGAAAAGGTCTCCCCCTTCCACCACTCGGTGATGAAAGCACAGTATGTTCTCTTTAATGCACTTGTAGAACATCAACTCCTTTCTTTTCATTATCATCATGCAGATAGAAAGTTGGGCAGACTGCATAACAGCCATGTGCAGAGAGAGGACCAAGAAAGGATGCCTAACAGAGGGGAAAGTGCTGAATCCTAAACACAAAGCTGAGACCAGTTCAGTGAAAGAATTCACTTAAACTCCACATGTGAGACAACACTGTGGTGAGGCTTACATACCTGAATAGTCCTTGTACCACTAATATGTACTTCAGATCTGAGATGGGAGAGAGGCAGAGTTTTTAAGAAAAAAAATATGAGACCAGGGCTGCTTCACTGAAGCAGTTTAAACTCAATTTACCAAATTACAATGCAAACCAGAAGTCACAGAACAGCTGTGTCTCCAGATCTATCTGTGTGTTATTGTGGCCAAGAGAGCAAGAGCTGGCCCACTACATTTACAACAAAGTATTTAACAAGCAAATATTGAGACCAAGAGAGTAAAAGTACACCTGCCACATCAGAAACATAGATAAGGGACACAAATAGGAAATCCATTCCCTCTCACATATACAAGATCAATAAATAGGAAAATACTCTACCTCATTAGTCGTCAATCAAAAGTCCCCTCTTCCTTAAGCCTTTCCTTTGACCTATGAGTATAAATTTAGCTATTTTTTTTTTTGCGTATGTCTAGTATATGTCAGACATTGGATATGAACCTACCATGAAAAACGCTCCTCTAGAATGCTATCCTCATCACCTACTAGAAATGTCGAGGACGGTGGCAGTAGAATGGCTACAATTGCTTCAAACACAAGTCACTCTCTTCTTCCTTCAGGCCTTTCTCTTTTTCTAATTTAAATTCACTACAGCTACCAATACTACAAGGACTGCAGAAGGGATGTGTTTATGAAAGACTAAAAAATTCTCACAAAAACTGTATTTGGCTTTTACTTTTCACCAAAGTGTTAAATTCTAAAAATTGGGACTTAGATACAAATGTACTCAAATTCTGAAGTGAAAATGAGCCATTTATTTTTGCTGCCTGAGTTAAGTGAACCAGAGAGCAATAGACAAACACTCCACAGATGAAAAGTCAATTCACTTAAAAGAATTATTTCCTCTTTAATAAATCATAAAGCTCGACTGTAAGTCACTTTGCACACCCTAGTGTTGTGTGGCCGATAGATGCACAGTAATCATAGTGATGGCGGTCACCCACCAACTCAGGCTGCTGTGCGCACAGAAATGAGGAGAAAGACAGGGGGCCAGAGTCTGATCTCAGGTCTCCAATTACAAAGATGTTCCACTTTAATTTTATGCTGTTTTACTTGGTTTTTGCTTTTCTCTCTCTCTCTCTCTCTCTCTCTCTCTCTCTCTCTCTCTCTCTCTCTCTCTCTCTCCCCCCATCAAATAAAACAAATGCTCAGTGTTATTTTATGAGAAGCCCTGAATCTTCTCATAAGGGAAGAACGCATAAGTTCGGCTCCCAGGAGCACTTGCTCACCTCAGATGCTTCTCTCAGCTGCTGGAGAACATGACTGGAATCAAAAGGCCAGCCTGAGGTCTGTGGAGATGGGCTCCCAGCTCCGGCTGTCTTCCAAAAAGAGCAATGTCAACATCAGAAGGTGGGATTTGGCTCTGAAAGAACACCACATTCTGCTAAAGATGTGCACATTTGTGTCTTGGCTGTATGTGATTCCAGGTCTGTTGTTTCTGCTTGGAAAGGGTATTTGGTCAAAAAGAATAATGCAACACATTGAACCAACTCAACTGGGAAATATTCTGGAAAGGGCTCTGGCCTCAGTTTACATAACTGAAGAGAAACTGGAGCCCTCTGCCATTCTCTCCGCATGAGCAGCATACAACAGGCCAATTCAGGGAAAGTAGAAATCAGCTAATCCAATTGCTTGGCATCAAGGAACCTTGGTGTTCAAAGGTAGATGCACCCGGGGCCCTGAACTGACCACGAACCTGCCATGGTTTGCTATTTTTCAAGCAGCTGAAGCAGCAGAAGCTCATTTCACTTTTCAAAATTGCTTTTTGGTAGTCCTGTTCCAAACAGCATTCACTCCCGCCCAACTATCATTCTACTCCATTTCTACAACCACTGTTTGAACTCTTACCAGGTGGCAGGCACTGTGCTAGCCATGGCAGAGGCAAAAAGGACAGAAGACTGCATTTATGGAGCTCAGTAGGAGAGACAGTTTTACTATTATTAGGGGCCACCTCTCAGTCTGAACATTTCTCTATACAGTCATCCCTTTGTCTCATGGGGGATAGTTTCCAGGACTCCTGACAGATACCTACCAAAATCTGAGGATGCTCAAGTCCCATTTATAAAATGGCTTAATGTTCACATATAACCAGTGTGCATCTTCTTGTATACTTTGAATCATCTCTACATTACTTATTCAACCTAATACAATGTAAGTGCTGTGTAAATAGTTGACCTATTGTATCATTTAGGGGATTAAGGACAAGGGAGAAGTCTGAATGTGTGCAGTATGGATGCAATTTTTTAAAAATAACTTCAACATTAGGTTGGTTGAATCAATGAATACAGAACCCATGAATACTGATGGCCAGCTATAATTCGCTTGTCAGAGAGGGAGAAAAAAACTGACTCTACCCCATATGATCTCCTTGGGTGACCAATGAGAATGTTTTATAACCAAGAATGCTGAAGGAAGATCCTTTGTAGGAACTTGCTCCTCTAGTAAAGGGACCACTCAAGGCATTTCCAAGTGAAAAGGAAGATGATCTTATTATGGAAATGACAAGAACATCCAGAGAAAAGTTAAGAGGAAACATATTTAAGGACATTATGGCAAAGGCCCCATCAGAATCAAGTGCCTGTTCACCAGACTACAGAGTTACTTGCAGGCATCCATACCATCTGGTGAGGGGCAACTTCCAGAACCCCTGTAGAGTCCCAGGTGCAAAAGACCTCTGCTCAAACCATCCAAGCGGTGTATCTCTTTGAGTTTGAGAAGTAAACTATCAAACCTTCCCTTCCCCAGGCCCTCTTTCATGAAAATGAAATCATGAGAAAAATGACTCATCGTGCCAGGAAAACTTAAGAGAGACCAACATGCAAAGATAATAAATGTTTAATACACATTGTGATCCTGCACATCCTTCCCTGGGCTTTCTCAACACCATCCGCATCCCTGCCTCTAGCACCTGCTAGTCTATCTGTCACCGCTTCTATAGACACTTCCATCTTCACCTTTCAGAGTGTGAGCTCCCCAAGGCAAAAGCTGTGCTGAATTCACCTTTGTGAACCCCCCCCAGAAGAGAACTAAAGGTGCTGACTCATAAGTGGATTTTAACCAGCCTTAGCACTTCTACCTTGGTAGAATCCACAGAAAGAGAGGCAGCCCTTCCCCTGAGAAGGGCCTCAAGAAAGGGTATGATGCCACAAGCTCTGAGTCAGAGGGGAGCAAGGGATAGAAGGAACAGGATGCCCCCAAACAACTCTTTAGTTTGTTACCATGACCAATGCATAGTTCCCAAAAAACCTAGTATAAAATGAAAATACAGGGTTCCTTGTTCAAAAATTATTACAAATTTCAAGACAGTATTAACAGAAACCAAATGCAGAACCCTCTGAATATGAAGCCTGTGCAGCTTCACTACTCCACGTGCGGGTCCACGAGGCCAGCCTGCTGTCAAATCCTTTGCTTCCCCTGCACAATGCCGTCTGATTGCACCACCACTCATGCCTGAGCAATTGTGGCTCCAATAAGTGAGAAATAAGAAAGAAAATGAGGTTAATATCCATGACATTTTGTGACCTAGACAAAATCATAGCAATAAAACAGAGCTGCCATCAGGTCCCTGAAGGATCATATTCAGGCAGTAACAAAAATAATAGATACTAGATAGCTCCTAGATAGCAGCCAATATGCAAAGCATTGACTCATTTCCTCCTCAGAACAGCCCCATAAGGAAAGCACTATCCACACCTCCATTCTACAGAAAAGGAAACTGAGGCTTTAAAAGATTAAGTAACTTCTAAAGGTCACACGGAAGTTGGTAGTAAGACTCACAGGTAGGCCCTTCTGAAAACAAAGTCCATAATTGATATATTTACTATCCCCAAGCCCCTGATATTGTTGTGGTGTAAACTAATCAATAAAATCAGTAAGAATGTAAGTTATGGGTTATAGATTAGTAAAAAAAAATATAAATTATGATATGATAAGTGAGATAAGACAATTATAAAGCAAGAACTGTCATAGGCCTAAGACTCCATTTTTCTGCCTTCTATATAAAAAACTGTTACAAGAGCTGTTTCTGAGAAACTGAAATGAAAGCTGTTTTCTAATAATATATTGTTTTCTATACTTTGTACCCCACAAAATGTACTCAACCCAGGATATGATGGTCTTGGTGACCGTAGACTTTGAAGTAGATTCTCACCCCCTGCTAACGACCTGCTCAAACTCAGGATACGACAGTCTAGCACCTGTTTGAATCCAGGAACGTGGTCAACTGAATTGTGGTCAACTGAATTGCAAAGCTGATTGCCTTTTCGCTAGCTTCTGTACTTGCTTACTTGCTCACTGGAAAATTCAGTACTGCTTAGGGCTTGCAGGTCCCGCTTATTATTGTTTTAATTTCTGTGACTGGCTTACTTGCATGATGCTAAGGAAAGCCCCTTGGTTTTCATTTTTAAGTTCCCAGGATACAGGCCAGGAAGCTGCTGTTCTCTCACAGAGCTTCAGTCTCTGGATGGGTGACAATCCCTGGCCAGATAAGTAAAGCTCTCATTGATTTGAATTCAGACTTAGAATGTTTTCTGAATGTACTCTGAAGGGCTTCAGTCAGCCATTCACAGGTGAGAGGAAAACCCCTTACAGAGTCGCTTCCTCTGCCTACCAAAGTCTTTTTTCCTTGCCCCTTGTTAACAGAAACCTTCTTGAAGACATGGTCTCCTCCGGGGAGCCTTCCTGAATATTTTCCTTGTCACCTTGATTCATCCCTCCTCCTCTTCTTCCTATATAATTTGTTGACCCCTATTGTAGAACTAACCCCTCAACTGAACTGTGCATGTTTTTCCCAATCAAAAGTGAATCCCTTGAAAGTAAAAACTCTATCTTATTGATTTGTTTTCTCAACTTTTGATACAAAGACTGACTCACAATAGGTGCTAGATTGAGTACAAATTTAACTCAGTGGAAAGGAACAGAATGAAACGTAACAATACGCCCTGAATTTATTAGTCTAGGTACTTTCTAAAGTCCCAATGAAAGAGATCTAGGGTAAAGAGTGATTTGAAAAAACTCATGTTTCAATGGCTCTGACCCCTCCCCTCCACATGCACACACACCCCTGTTGGAAAGCAGTAATTTGTGTTTAATGTTAGAAAAGTGGATCCAAATCCTTTCTCTTCCTTTCTTAGCTGCAAACAGTTTAAATAAGAACACTCTGGGAAGGGACAGAATAGACCCTATAACCTTTCCAAAATCTTTTAGTTTTTTGAATAAAAAATATTCATTTTAATTCTTAAAAACAACAATTTTAAGATGTTTTGTCTCATGACTACTTTTAAAGGGAAATCCTTTCATAGAGCAACCCTGCAGGGTTGGCAGTGAAGTAATACCTAGGTCAATAGGGCTCTGCTGCATTCCCTGACTTCTTTCCCTTTGATAACTGATCATCTTCAATGCTGTCCTGAACCCTCTTCAGCCAGTGCTGGGTTGTTCTGGGTATCACAATGGTACATTGTCATTCAAGCTGTAATTAAATCTCATCTGTTAAAGGGTCAGTGACCCATCTTGGCAGCCTAAAGGTAATACAGGAAAGTTAATTTCCTAAGGTCCTGGGTTATAAAACCCTGACGATGTGCAGGGGATGCATATCTGAACTGATTTCAAGTGTGTCTGAAATTATACTGGGTGAACAGGAAAAAAAATATGATGTCTTTGATCAATGAGAAAATGTTTAGAAAAATCAAGATAAGCCAACTCATTAAGTCAATTCATCTTGACTTAAATGTTCTATGCTGTTACATTGTCTGGAAGTATGTGAAGTTAATGGGGGAAATTATTCATAGGGGAGGAAGTATTTAATAAGCTAGTCTGGATCTAGGAATAGCAGAACTAGAAGCAAGCAAAGACAGCTATGGTCATTTAACACAGTTCTCTACTACTGTATTAGTTTCCTATTGCTGATTGTGGTAACAAATTATCACAAACTTGGTGTCTTTAAATAACATGGTGTTGTTTACAGCTCTGCAGGTCAGAAGCCCAACATTGAACTCACTGGCTAAAATCAAGGTGTTGACAGGACTGCTTTCCCTTCTGGGGGCTCTGCTGCAGAATCCATTTTCTTGCCCCTTCAAGCTGCTAAAGGAATCCTGTGTTCCTGGTTTGTGGCCCCCATCTTCAATATTTAAAGCCAGCAAATTTGCATTGCTTTGAACATTTTTGGTAGTTACACATTCATCTGACCAAAGCCTGAAATGACCCTGTGCCCCTGAGACACCCCCCCCATGTGATTAGATTGGACCCACCTGGGTAATCCAGGACAACTTTCCACCTCAGTGTCTTTAACCCAACCCAAGATCTGCAAAGCCCATCTTGCCATGTAAGGTTAACACATCCATGGGGTCTGGGTATGAGAACATGGATATCTTTGGGGCCATTTTTCTACCTCCTTCAAGTCCCAAGGAAGGTGCTCCAGTGATGTGAGGGTAGGATGGGCATCTTCACCATAACTCAGCTTCAGGGACTAAAGCTTATTAACATAAGGACTTCTTTCATCATCTAATCTAAATCTCTCTTACTACCATACTTCCAAATTACAGCCATCTCATTCTCCAGCCCTACAAATCCCTAGACCAACATTTCATCCCTGGACTCATCAGATTTCAGGACCTTTTTTTTGCTCTTTTCTATCTGAGTCTATGACTGATGGGAACTAGGTTGTACCAAGATATCTGGCCTCTCTTTTCTTTCATTTTTCTCCTTCTGCAAACCACATGCTTCCCATACCTCCCCCTACATACACCTCCTCCTACATGAGGCTTCGCTGCCCTTTGGTTTCTTGTATTGATGCAGACATAAACTCCCTCATCTTGACTTCCCCCTCCAGTAAGCCTCCTCTGCTCCTGCCCCTGCCCATCCGCATGCCCACACCAGCCTTCCATGCCATTCCCCCCAAGACCAACATCAACTCTTATGGCAACATCACAGCCACATCATTAAGTGTACCCCCACTCTAGGTAGTGGGTAGCTTTAAGCAATCAGTTCCACATGTAGCCCTGAGCTGGACAAGTTGGGATAACCTCTTATTCTCACAATTTTTTCATATATAAGCATGTTAAGGTCATTCCATTGTCCAAAAGAAAAAAAAAGAGCACTTAGGATGTTAACATAATTATCTTCATTGGAAGTTTATAATAATAAAAAACACAAATCCAACCCATAACACTTGATTGATAGATTTTTTAATACCAAGATAGAGCTACAACACTATAAATCTGTACATTGAAATGTATTTACCTCACTATAATTGACAGAAATCAATAGAAACACACAAAGCCCTTTGTTGCTCTGCTGAAACATGACACATTAGAAAAGATATGTAGATAAATACGTTAATAAAGTAATAGAAAGTATAGCTGTCAACAAAGCTCTGACAGAAGAGAGTCCTCACTTATCTGTAATAAGAGATTTTCAAACTTATTTTCTCTCCTTAACAAAGCAGATTTGATTTGCAAATTTTCATTTTCTCCTCATCATTTGCAGCTCCCCAATAAAATATAAGTATTAAAGCTCATTATCTACATAACATTCCTGTTTCTCTGTTAACATGTATATACATAAATTATAAGCATTTTTTAAACCAAAAATCGTAATCTTTAATTACTTATACTTATGTAGGATGCTCCCCAGACAATTCCCCTCTCTCTCTCTCTCTCTCTCTCTCTCTCTCTCTCTCCCCCCCCCTCCCTCTCTCCCTCTGCTTCCTTTCTGGAGACAGAAATATACAATGCCATCTCCATCAACCAATTGTCTCTGACTTTTTTCACTGTCTAAAACTGCCAAGTGGCCAAAGTTCCTACCTAGGAGATTCCCCGGGATCTAGGGTCTGGAATGAGAACAGGCCCAGCCAAGGCACAAAGGTGAGAAGAGTGCAGCCCCCAAAGCCCAGGCCTAGGCAGGCCCTGGAGCAGAACTGGAAGTAAATTGGTTAAGGGCTCTCTACCTGTGGCTGTTCCCAACAAGGACCTTGAGAACCTGTGTATTCCTACACATGTCTTTGTAGTATTCAAGAAAGGAACAAGTCAGTGATTAGTTTATTATTGATATGTAATGAATACTAGATGTTCAAGAATAGCTTCTATCAAGATTTAATGGAGATTTAAAAGAAACAAAAAAATAGGAGAGAAGAAAGCTTGGAAAAGAAAAGACATATGTTTGGGGTATCTGCTGTGCCCAGGCTCCCTCTCATAATCCTGCTAAGTGTCCTGTGTTGCCATTGTTGTTCTCAACATCACGGAAGGCAACTGAGAGAGTTGTTTTCAGCATCATGGAAGGCAGCTGAGGCTGAGGATGTTCATGCAACTTGCTCATGGTTCAGGGCAATACCTACTCAAAAGTCTACTCCTTTTTAGCAGTTCAAATGGGTAACCATTTAATGCATGTTATTGGCCTTGTCCACACACATCATTTTTGGTGAAGTCTTATCCCAATATACTACCAGTTTCCTTGACACAAGAAGTAAGTGTTAATTCTACTACCGGCCTGGACCCTAGAGAATCAACACAGTCCACTAGCATGAAAATATATCACACAGCTGAAAGTCTAAATTGGGCCCTCACCAACTCCTCAAAACTTTTGCAACCCAAAGAATTATCTGCTCACCCATCCCAGTGGAGTCCAGCCAAGTCCCAGCCCCCCAGGGGTTTCTACAGGCTGAGTTCAGCCCCTAGGGCATTATCTGAGGGGTTTTAAGGCTTTCTTTCAATGGTTCAGCATAGTCTGAATTTTATAGGCTACAACTTGAGTTGGTTTCCTACATCCATGAGCAGCTGACAGCTGTCAGAGGCAGGTCTCCCTCTTGCCGCTGGCCAGTCCTGAGGCTCATTCACAGAGACAGGGACAGAGTCCAGACTGACACACTGTTTGGGCTGTTTCCATGAGGTCCTCGCAAAGTGGGTTTGGCTGTAAACAGCCTCTAAAGTCAACAGAACATGCAGGCTTCTTGAATACCTTTGGATCAACTGGCCATAAACCAGACACAAGTCTGGTTAAAAACTCTGCTGTCCCCTTCTGCCGATTGTCTTCTTTCAGTCAAATACAATTTTCTTTATCCACTAACATCTTTTGAGCTCCTCCCTTGTGTTAACACCTGGGGATACAGCCCTCTGGGTTATGTTTCACCTAAATCTGTACTGGTAAAGCATAAGATGGAAGGAAATATTGTGATTCATTCATTTATTCATTTACTTATTCAATAAAACAGATATCGAATATCTACTCTGAAAAGTACAGTGCCAGGCAGTGTGGAAAATAAAAGGAGACTCACCAGGTATCCTACCTTCAAAAGGTTATATTTTAATGCCAGAGATAAGCCACAGATCTAATTTTCTGTAAAATGAAGTAAAACATAATAGATGTAATGAGAAAAGTTCATGTGAAATCACAGGAGCACAGGAGTACAAAGATATTATTTGCATCTGGAATATCAGAGAAGCTGTCCAGAGTTTAGGTTTTCCAAAAACATATCCTGAGACAAGAATTTTGGTTCAAGTAGTTTGGGAGGATGAAGGGGATCTCGGGACACAACAGGAATGAAAGTCAAGACCTCAAAGGGAGAAAAACCAATGAAGGATCCTTTAGTGAGCAAGTTACTGCTATGAGCAACTGCAAATCAACCACATCAGGCTGAACATGCTTCAGATTCATTGTGAAGACATATGAGGAAGCTGAAGTATTGATCCCACAACTCTACCCCTCAAAATCAAGGATTTCTCCTGGAGCAGGGACTTAACCACTTACTGTCTCCTCTTGAGAACAGTGCAGGGACTTTCTGTCCCCCAGAACTAATGCTCCACCACATTTCCAAGGCCAGTGAAATGGCATACAGTCTCTATATTTGGTAATTTGAAGAGGATTTGAAATTCTAGTTTTAGGGTTAGGTCCACAGCAGAACAACAGCCAGAGAGTCATATAGTTTCTTACGCCTCAATGAAAAATCAAAGTATCTATGTTCCTTAGAACTTACACATTCCCCAAAATGGATGCAAAGATGAATTCTCCAATACTGGATCTTATTTTTAATTCAGTATGAGGAACTTCCTCTTTAAAGTCATTTTTACTCTATAAAATAAGTAGTCATTTGGAGTGTGAATTCTTTATATCCAAACTTCCACTACCATCTTATGCATCTCTTGGAAAAATCTTGATATTCTTAGAGTAGAGCATATCCATTTAAAAATGTGTTTATCATTCAGTTCAATTCAATAGCCCTTTATTGAGGAGCTTCAAGGAGAAAAAATCAGGGACACAGAGGTGAATGAAGCACAGCCTTGTGGTCTTCCAGGAGATGGCTTTTTTTTTTCCTGAATGTTGTAGCAAGGTTTATGTAGTGATTATAGAAAAAATGGGAATTTTTCAATGCAATGCTGAAAGGGTCATGAGATAGTAGATTTATGAACTAATGAAAAAATATTGACCTTAATCAATGATTTTAGATGATTTACAAACAACATAAAATCATAAGAACAGGTCCATACTTGTTTTCTTTCATTGAAATTGAAAAAAACAGTGTGTCAGATGCACAATCTACTTTTCCCTGTCTCTTTAAACAAATGTTCATAATTTTATTTCTTTGTAAGAATTTCTACTGCCTCTTAAAATTGACTCCACAACTCAAACTTCCGTTGCTCTTCCGATCACCCCATATATTTTCCTAATTATCTCTGAATTTGATCAAATCAAATAGATAAAAATCCATGAGTTCCCAAAGAGAAATCATTAGAAAAGAAGATAGGAAAACCCAATGGGAATACTGGGTAAAATCCCTATCAACACTAGAGTCTCCACCTGGCTGGGTCTCAGCCTCAGCACAGCAAGTTCCCTTGCTGGGACCACTGGCACTCCATTGCAAGCTCCACCCTGCTGCCTGTTCTGAAACTGAGCTGGGTAGAAGGGAGGAAGAAGTTCTCTTTGTTTGTCTTCTCTGTCCTGCATGCATCATTATACAACTTATTTCCCAGAGCTAGGTAGTGTTAGCCCTACTGAGAGGTGAAACACCGAAGGACTTTACCAAACCACACACAGCAAATCAGTGGTCAAGCCAATACTAATCTTAGGTCCATCTGACTCAGTAGAAGTCTATGTCTCACACTGTACCACATGGTCAACTGTAGACCCTTACTCTGCTCTGATGCTAAGTATTCATCTTTTCTGAGCCTTCACCTGGTGGTGGTGCCCTGCTGCCTACAGAATGACTATTCATGGGAAATTCAGAACACGGCTACCCAGGACTCCCCTCTTGGGATCTGCCTTTCTGCTACTTTATCTGGGATCCCTCTTTCTGACTACATGGCTGGGCTGTCACAGGCTATTTCCTTACTCCATGAATCTCTGTTGCACTGGTCAGACCAAACCTCTCCTGATCCCTTGTCGTGAGCAGCGCTGTTAATAATTAGTCAGAGGTGGATTATCTTTAAATGCAAGCATATATTCAACCACACCAATCATCAAACATAAATAATTAATGCAAAAAGAGCTGAGTGTGCTGAATGGAGCATCCCAACTAGCATTCAGTGCACATAAATTAAACACTACAAGCAAATCACACGATCCCCAAAACACCTCCCATGCCACACAACTTCTAAGATGCTCCTAAGACTAAGACTCTAAAGTGGCTCCTAAGACTAAGATGCTCCTTATACCCCTAAGAGTTGAGAAGGAACAATTCTCTGCCTCTTCTCAGTTCTCCTCAAACTGCCCCATCAATCTGTAAGACTCTGATCCAAGGCAGCATGAATCTCAAGAAAAAAAGAAAAAGAAAGAAAGCATCCAGACACTAGGATTATCAGGCACTTGAGATAAAACCATGTCCAAGGCTGGGAATATAGCTCAGTTGGTAGAGTGCTTGCCTCAGAAGCACATGGCTTTAGGTTCAATCCCCAGCACCACCAAAAATAAAAAAGAACCATGTCCAAGAGGCCAAGCTAACTTACAAACAAAATAAACATGCCTTTACCCAGAACATTCTAGACCTCTAGTCTTAGATGTTAGAAAAGAATTCAACTTTCTCCAAACTTTGCTTAGAGATTCATGTACTCTGAAAAACCAGGGCTAAACCAGAGCTAGAGAACCAAAGCAATTTCCTTGAATAACATTGAATGACCTATCTAAAGGAATGCCCCACTCCAGGAAGATCCCCCCTGATGTTCAGGCATGCCTAAGCTGAAATGAGGAGGCTCCAGAGTCTTGGGGGGTGGGGAAGTGTGCCGACTCTCAATGAAAACCACATGCTGTAGGTTCTTGCCCCAATTTAAAAGATGGTTTCTGCTGAAAGCTGGATCATTCCATCTTGGAAAGCACTGTGGCCTCCAATTGTTTTTAAGCCATAGCAAACGTAAGAAAGTGGTCT